ATTAAGGTTGGATCTGGGGGAACGGCAGCTTGGCAAAGGTTTGTGACATTGAGGCAGTAAGGGCTGGCAGGGTGAAGGGACTGAGAAGGTACGCCCTCTTTACCCCTGCCTTTTTTTTCCCCTGGTAAGTGAACAACATCCTTCCCAATGGGGTGTCCTGGCAGCCCCCCACTCCACCCCAGACAGGAGTGGGAGGGGCAGGCCGCTGGAAGCCTCATAAGCAAGCCTGACCTGACCGTGGTCTGCAGAGCAGAGAGGGCTTAGACTGGCCCTGGGCACTCCTGCAGAGACAGCAGAAGGGGTGAGAATTGGGGGCAGACTCCAGAGTCCCCAAAGCACCCCTCATCCTCATGTTCCTTTTTCAGAGAAAATGACGTTTACCCCCCAACACCACCTCTGTTGTCCACTCCCCTCAATTCTAAGGTTGAGATGGCAGCTTACTCCCCATATTTTTAGAATTAAAAATAAAATGAAGGCCCACGATCTTGGTTCCCACTTCTTTTTCCTTTAGGTGCCAGACAATTTGAAGCCTTTCTGTCTTATCAGGTGGCCCACACTAGCCTGCCTTTTCCAGAAATATTCCGGTGTCCGGAGATAGCTGAGACACACCTTGGAGGCATTGGGAAAAAAAAAAAGAAAGAACCTTATCCCACCCTAAATTCCACCTTCTGTGCTAAATTCTGAGCACCCTAGGCACCCCCACCCTTCTCCACACTCAAAAATTTTGGTGATGTGTCCAGTGTGAGGAAGCCCAGAATAAAGTCTCCACAGAGATTATTTGCCACCCAGTCATAGCCTAGCCACTCTTCCCACCAGCTGGAGATTAGAAGGCCCCAAACTCTCCCCTTGGTCCCACATGGAGCTGTCATGGGACTTCCACAGGTGGGTACCCTACCCCAACCAACAGGGGTCCGCTATCCCCTCCCCAAACTTCCTCCACATAAGTGAAGCAGCTCCTTCAGCCGGATGCAGGGACCTCGTTTCTTTTACAAACCCACTCATAAATTTTATAACAGGTAGTTAAAAATTACGACAAGAAAGCACTGGCCCAGCTTTTCACAATGGGCCTCAGGGAGAATGGGACAGCACTGCGGGCAGCTCGCCGGAAATTTTACTTCTTGTCTGTGGCACAACCTGTCCAGAGTTTGCTCTAATTGGGGTTGGGCAGCTTTCTCCAGCGGGCTCCCAACGGCTGGGGCATCTCATTTGGAGAAGATGAGACTAGGGAGGCCCATTCACTCTTCCACCCTAGGGTCTGCCAAGGAGCCTTTCAGGACACTCACTGCCTCCTTCACAGCCCCGACCCCCCCACCCCAGGTTGCGGAGGCCCGAACCTCCCCGGGCTTCTGCAATGAAGTGGGGAGAGAGAGAAAATGCCGAGAATTTTTTTTTTAAATCCAGAGAAACGAATTTGCCCTCCAACTTAATAGCTCCGCTATCCCGTCTCTACAGTTGAGATTAGAATAATAAATTCAAGGCGAAATGAGGGAGACGCTTCAACTCAGCATTTTGAAAGATACTATTTTTCACAAATCACAAATAGCTTTCGGAAGCCACTTTGATTGGCTAATAAAAAAGTAAAGAATGGGAGAGAGTCCTATCTGCTGCAGCCGAATGGTCCCCATTCCGGTAATGGGACGGCAGGAACGTTTGGGAGGACGCGTTTCTAAAGAGAGCGCATCCCGCTCGCAATTAAGTTCCCCCATAAAAACGGGTTTTACCTCCTTTTCTCTCCAAACGAGAACACGGAGGTGGCGCGCAGAAAAAGCGGGGGAGTGGGTGCTGCACGAGGGGGCGGCTGGAGCTCTGTTGTTCTGGCCCACGTCTCAAGCGATGCCCGGCGCCAGATGCACCCTGCCCTCCGACGCCGGGCTTGGGGCCACGGGCATTGCTGAGCAGGGCCAGGGATGTATGGGGCACTTGGTGCAGGGAAAATTCGGCGAGGTCCTTCGGAGCCGCTTAGTGTGTAGGCTTTAACCCACTTGGCTACTGGGTCAGCGATTTTTATTAGTAGCATTCATAATTCCACATTTAAAAATGAAACGGCCCTCCACTGGCCTTCGGACTCTGGAGGGGAGGCGCGTGGAAAGGCCTGAGATCAGAGCGAAATGCTCCCTTTTAGGTCCTTCCCGGCGGTAGCCGTCGCGGTCTCCCGCAGCAAACGGGGTTACCTGGCTGGCTCCGCGGCCTTCGGTAGGGACCGCACGTTCGGAAAGATTTCCCCCAGCGCTGTTTCCCCCAGCTGTGCCCGGCTGCCCCCAGCCTGTGCTTCCAATCGGCACCCTCTTTCTGGCTGCACGAGTCCCCTATCCACAATGTCCGACCCAATCCTGTTTTCAGGGCCACTTTGCATGGGAGCCAGGATGCAGACGCGGGTGAAGTTACACAAAACAAGAGTCAGCTTGGGCCTAAATCTGGGAAAATCATTGACCGAGAAGGAGGGAGGGGGGGGGGGAGAGAGAGAGAGAGAGAGAGAGAGAGAGAGAGAGAGAGAGAGAGAGAGATCTGCTCTCAAAAATATTTCAGTCATTGGGGATCTGGTTTTTAAGACCAGAAGATCTCATCCCCTCCCCTTTCCCCCTCTCCTGACTGAGCCAGATGACTTCTATCTCTGGAATTTGGTATTATTTGACGAGAATCTTACTGGCATAAACAGATTTCTCTGTCTAGGACCCTCCAGGGAGGAGTGAGAGACCATTTTGCCCCCTGAATCCTTTAGCCTTTGACCCTTTATTTTGGGGAATGAGGAGTCCAGTGGAGACTCTCCTTACTCTACTACGGCTGGGATAAGGGGCTGATCACTCAGTAGGTCTGCCCCTTCTCCCCAGGCCAGTGTCCTGCATTATGAGGGCAGGGCAGGCTGCCCAACTGCCAAGGTGAAGCCAGGAATGGGCTTGAAACAACTAGTACAGAGGCTGGAGTAGATGCAAGTGGCCTAGGTGACAATGATGGCACTGTGCTGGCTGAATTTGAATTTCAGAATGTGGACCCACACTGCTTGGTGTACCAGCTCACTCACCTTCCCCTTCTCCTCTCCCTTCCCCCAGGCTTAAGCTTCCTTATCCCCTACCCTTAGGCATCTTCCAGCCAAGTCTTCCAGGCTGCCTTGAAACTTATATTTTTCCACCCTGTTCACTGTTCTAGTGCTGGGTGCTGGCTGCTCAGGATTGGTGTGCAGAGATCAGAAAGAACCCTAAAGCCTCATCCTCAGCCCCTGGAAGAAAAAGGCCTAGCTCTTGGGGGAGGGGGGCAGGTTCTTTGTCTGGGCCCAGCCCCGGGCTGAGGAGGAGGAAGGTAGGTAAGTGGGGAAGTGCTTTCTCCCCTTTGGGATCCTGACATCCAGAAACCCACTTTGTTTGGAGCCAAGGTCCTCCCAAGAGCATACTGCTCTTCTCCTTCCTCCTCTTCACCTTCCCTCTTTTACCTGCCCTCCCAGCCCAGCCTACCCTCTCAACTCCAAGTCAGTTCTCCCCACCCACCCCAAAGTCAGGTCAGTGGAGGAGACCTTTTCCAGAGTGTTAGGAAAGGAGGACAAGGAGGGGGAGAAGGGGTAGCGAATGGAGGGTGGTGTTGGAGAAAAAACAAGTCATTCCAGCTTCAAATATTTTTCTCCTTTTTTTTTTTATTATGACTCACGTATACAATACAAAGTACTTGGACCAGGAACAGGGCTGCCGGGACACAAAATCTACATTCATAGCTGGACATAAAGACAAATGACAAAAATTATTATTATAGATATATTTTAACGCTTTTTCTTTCGAGCACATTGCATAAACAGAGAATTCAAGACAAAGTTAACTATACATTCAGTGCAATTTAGTTCTACTCTACTGGGGTTAGAAGCACAATAAAAGCGCACAGGACCGGCGAGCTAGGCAGTCTCAGTTGTTGGGTTTTCTTAGTGAAATAAGCAGCAACAAACGACAACAAAACTGCATTACGAATACTCTCAAAGCAGGATTTCTTTCTATAGGTAGTGATAAAATACGTTGGAGGGTTTTTTTTTCATTTTAGTTTTTTCTCTTTTTTTCTCCTGTATTAGGATTTCTAAAAATTTCTTTTTTATTTTTCAAGATTATTGCAGGTTCCCTTTAGGTAGTATGTTAAAGATTTATCAGTATTGTTATTACCAGTATCATTATCATTATTATTATTTTCATGATTATGGTGATTTCTGAGTGCTAACACTAATGCAGCTCAGAAAAAGCTGGGCCCAACAACAGAAATCGGACAGCGAAGGGGAGGGAGGCACGGGCCCAAGTGACCATGGGGTGGCTGGGTAGGGTTTTAGCGGTGACTGCAGGCTCCCACCTACCCCCTGGAAAGGTGGAGGGACAGCAGAGACCTACATCTCCTTCAGGTTTCCATCAGGTTTCTAGAGAAAGTCAAGGGGTCTTTCTAATGGGGGAGCCCCAGAAAGGGAGATAGGATATGCCTTGCTATCACTTAAAAAATTTCTTTAAACGTTTTCCCTTTCCTTTCCTTCACTTTTCTTTCCTTTGAAAAGAAGTAAATCTAATACACTAATCCTAGCATAAAAACAAAGCCACAAGTCTTCTTCATTTTGAGGGGGGGCTCCCCTCTAAAATAAATACCAAAGAAGCAGGGGGGTGGGAATGTGGCAAGAAGGGGCTGAGAGAGGGGGCAAAGAGGCCAGGTCTCAGACCTTAAAATCCAGGCTGGTCTCCAAAGGGTGGGGGTAGGGACTAGTGTGTGTGTCGGGGGCAACGACTGAGACAGAGACTCCGAACTTTTCGCTGTGTCTCAGTCTCCCCCCTCCAGCCCCCGAACAAATAAAGATCGGGGGAAGTCCAAAGGTAATAAAACCAGAACTGCAAGTATCTGACAGGTAGTTAGAGTTGTGAGTGTCATTCTATTCTCTATAAAAGCAAATGACAGTCGTAAACTTCTCAATTTATCCGCTACCATAAAACGAAACTTCAAGGGAGTTGCTAAAGGGTGGGGGCTCTCTCTCTCTTTTTTTTTTTTTTTTTTGCTTAGTCCTTGTTTTCTTCCTTTTCCTCCTCTTCTTTCTCCTCTTCCTCATTTCCTTCTTCCTCCACCTTCTCCTCATCTCGGGCTCCGGGCAGTTTATCCTTGTTGTTCTCCTTTTTCCACTTCATTCTTCGATTTTGGAACCAGATCTTCACTTGTCTCTCAGTCAGTCCCAGGGCATGAGAGACTTCAATCCGGCGCTTTCGTGTCAAATATGGATTAAAGAGAAACTCCTTTTCTAGTTCCAAGGTCTGATACCGGCTGTAAGTTTGCCTTCCGCTGCGCCGCCCGGGAGCTGGACAGAACAGAACCCCAGTCTCATTATGTTTGGGTGGGGGCTCAATTTTCCCTGCCACTCTTTCTCCCCTAAAGTCCTCCCTCTGATCTCTGAGTTCCCCTCCCTCCTGCAGAAAAGGAGAGAGCGGAAAGCAGGCAAGGGCAGGAAAGTTTGGGGGCTTGTTTTGGTTTGGCTTCACCTTGGGAGGTGGGGAGGGGTAGGGGCAGGAATGGGGCTCTGTCTGGAAGCCGGGGTACGGCAGGGGTCAGGGGAGCACTGCAGAGTACTCCAGGGCCTGCAGCCCCAGGAAACTGGCCCTTGCAGCTTTGTTTACAAGTGCAGAGTGGCATTTGGTAAGCAGAACTAGGGACAGTTGTTTCCAAAAGAAAGGAAAAAGGTCTGGGGGTAAAGAAGAGGGTCTTTGCTCATTGTCCCCTCACCAAATCTCTCTGCCTAATGCCTTGCCAGGAAGAAAAATAATTGATCTCCTGGAATGTATCACTGCCTGGCCTGATTGCTAACTGGAGACCAGCAAATAAATCACAGGCCATCCCCGCTGGAACTTGTCGCTTTCTCGCTTCCCCTTTTACTTCGAAATTGGGCCATGAGGGGCCACCCTTTGAGGGGCTCATGACCTGAGCTACTCTTAGTGTCCTGAGGAGACTCCACTAGCCTTTGATTGGAGGTAGCTTGGCTGGGATCCCCAGGACCTCAGAGCCCTCTAGTCTGCATGGCCTCTCTCTTTTAGAGCACTCCTTTTTTCCTCCTCTCTGGCTTCCTCTCTTCTCTTCAATTGAGGGAAGTACAGCAAAGTTGGGGTAGTGGCCCTAAACCTAGTTCTCTGAGAGAAGACAGTGAGTCCCCCCAGAGAGCCAGGGCACCTGTTCTTCAGGTCTCACCCCCCCTGACCCAGCTAGGGGAGAGACACAGGGGTCTGTCTCCCTTTACCCCAAGACAGCCTGGCCACTATGTTGGACTAAGGCTCTGTGCCTTATGGAGACACTGGTTTGCTCCAAAGGCTGATAACCTCAGGGTCCTCAGGCTCCTTCCCAGCCACCTCCCCAACTTTGATTTTAGGGATGGTAAGAGGGAGAAATAGACAGACAGGCGGAGGTGGAGAAAACGATTTTTAACCCTTTGCACCCAGACACCATCTCCCCCCCACCCTAACCCCAGTTCCCAAAATATCCCAGGCAAACCCCGTACCTCACCCCCAGCTGAACCTCCCAACCTCGAGAAACCCACTCAGACACGTAGGTGGGGCCGGGGAGACCCCAAAGCCAGGAGGGAAAGCCAGGGCAGACAAAAAGGAGGCAAGGGAGGGGGGGAGACCCCGGAGCGCGGGAGACCAAGGGGGAAAGAGAAAAGGCTTCTCACCGTGGGGTCTCATCCATGGAAACATGAGGCTGGGAGACGAGTTTTGATTTAAGTGGCCTTGTCCTTCGCTACTGTTAGTGTTGGCGGAGGATTTACAGTCGGGATATTGCACCACGCTCGCCTCTTGCTGAGCCCCATAAAGGGACTGTCTGGGGAGCGCCTCGTAGCCATAGAATTTGGAGGCGTCTCCGTGGCAGCTCAGCGAGCACGGGTTCTGCTGGTAGCCTGAGTTGGAGATGCCCGAGGTGCCGTGGTGGAAGAAGTCTTGGACGTGGTGCGAGGCATGCTGGAAGCCGGGCGCCGAGCCGCCGGGCCCGTACACCAGCGCATGGCTCCTGCCCACGCTCTGGGGGAACCGGCAGTCGTAATAGGCCGGTTCCAGGGACTCGCCGCCTTTGTATTTGGAGAACAGGGGGTTGACGAAGTAGGAGCTCATGCTGGGCACATGAAAACCGCCGCCCCCTCCCCTCTGGCTCGAGACTCCCCCACCCCGTACCCCCGAAACTCCCCTCCCCCCGGGAGCGAACCCCCGGCCGGCTGGCTCCCCGGGGCTGGGCCGGGCTGGGCGGGTGGGGGACGCCGGGTGCCGGCCGGCCGGCTCACGCAGCTCCCGGGCTGGGCGGGCGGCGGCGGCGGCAGCGGGCGCGGCGGCGGCTCTCTTCACTGTCGGTAGGTAGAGCTCGCGCTCCCTCACTTAGCTCTTTCCTTTAACAGCCCAGGCGAATTCCTCAGACTCCCGGCGGTGGCGGCGCTTACACGCGATTCGCGTTCATCAATCCACGACATGAAGACAGGCGAGAGAGAGAGGGAGAGAGAGAGAGAGAGAGAGGGAGAGAGAGAGAGAGAGAGAGAGAGAGAGAGAGAGAGAGAGAGAGAGAGAGAGAGAGAGAGAGAGAGAGAGAAGAGATGGTGGGGGGTTGAGGGGTTCAGGGCTGGGGGGACCTGGAGGGAGGGGAGGAAGGAGGAGGGTTGGGGGGTGTGGTATATATGTGTGTGGGGGGGGCGGTGAGCCAGCCTCAGCTAATGGCTGGGGCCAGTTTTTCCAAGGTGCGCATTCAGATCTGAAGGTGCCTCTCCCCCCTTTTCTTTTCCTTCATCTCAGAGAAGAGATACCTGAGCCAGCAGGTCAACTCAGGTTACTTCAACAGGTATAAGACCCTAGGGGGTTGAATGCCAGCAAGGCAGAGCAGGTTCCCTAACCCAAAAGACAGGATCCCAGGGGGTCCGTAAGTCTGGAGACTTTGAAGAGGAACAGGCATATCACATACCCAAATACTTCAGGCATCAGAACTCTCCATGTCTCTTGTCTCTCCCCAAGGTGCAAAGCTGCCCTGCCTAGGTGCTTGAGGCTCTCTTGTCTGCCTGCCTGCTGTGGGTAGACAAGACGGCCAGAGGTGGGGGCACTGCTTATACCCAGTTGGGGCTGCACTGCCTCTTCAGACACCAGCTCCCGCCTGAGGCATGAAGCCCAGGCAATGGCCAGGAGCTTGGCTGGGGCTCTGAGAGCAAAGCTGCTTGTGGGGACAGAGAAGAAAAGGGCAAGCTGGTGGGTCCGTGGCTTCTGGCTGAGCTGATTCAGAAGGTTCTTCCTAGGATACTATTTGTGTCAGGGTTGGAGGAGACTGGAGCAGGCCTCTTGTCCCTACATACCCTAACCCCATAGGAAATGCCAGTTCGCCCTGGAGAGCCCCCTGGCTTCACCACACCCCCACTTCCTCAGGCAGGCTGCCCGGGCCAGGATGTGGATGAGAACTGTCAACACACACTCTTTAAATATTTACCCACACTTTCTCTGGAAGGTTCTCCCCACCCCTAAGGGTAAATTCAAGTTAATTCTAACGAATAAAAGAACCTTAGTCCATCAGCACCCTTCTCTGGCCATATGTATGTACAGTTATGTGGGCTGAACACAGAGAGAAAAGGGGGAAAGTGAGAGAACTGTAGATATGCATGCTGTGTGCATACGAATGAAGAGGAATAAGAATGATTTTTTCCAGTCCTTCCTCTATACAGTGTGTGAGGTTGTTACACACAGGGCAACACTGAGGCACACTTGGGACATACACATACTGTATGTACTACCTTCCACCCTGAATAACATCAAATGCATGCTCACTAAACTATCATGCATGCCTTGAAACACCCATCACTTCACAGATACTGCGCACACATGTGTACACCCAGGCACACAGGAAAATAATACGTGACACACATGCATTTTTAGCTCTCTGCATTATGAACAATCATGAAAAAAATTGCTACTTATTTTCCTTCCACATCCCGGGGTTTAAGGATTGTATGAGGAAGGAGGGCAGTTAGAAGACCAGATCTTTTTCTTCCCCATCGGGAGCCGGGCTCTGGGGATGAAGGAAGGAATGGCAGTGCAGTGGAGGATGGTGTTTAGAGAATGAGCCATCCCACCCCATGCTTCTATTATCTAAATAATTGCTGGGGAAAGGGCCACCCTCAGCCAAATTCCCAAAGGAAATTCACTGATGTCCCAGCAAGAGACGTTTCCACTATCCCCTGAATTTAGAGGAACCCACCCCATCTGAGTTAGGGACTGCCCAGACTGCGAAACCCAGACCCTGGGCCCTGGAGCAGCAGAAAGGGAGGGCCAGAGGAAGGCTGTGCCGGGGCTGCAGGTCTCCCTAGGGTCCAGGATAGTGGAGGGCACGACAGGGGTCTCTTCCACTACCAGAGCACACTCCAGCCTTGATTCTAGCCCTACCTTCTCTGAGCCTGCTCTGCAGCACCGAGCTGAATGAGATGGACTCTGGGCTCCCAGCATCTGGGTCACTGGGGACTGTCATAAATACTTTCTTTTCCCTGCCTGGAAAGAGGAGGCTCTGCAGGCCGGATACGCTCTGGGGCCTGTGCCTTATCTTTTAGGGGGGGGGGGATATCTCGACAGTTTATGGTCCAGCGAAATCCCTGCCACATAGCTATTCTTCCGGGCCTTTGTGTCTTGGAATGCGACTGTCCCGAATGTGCCGCCACCACTGCCTGCTCGGAGAGCCCACCCCTGGCTAGACTTGGTTTCCCCTTTTGGGGGTCCCTTGCCTTTTCTTTCTTTCTTCCTTTCATGTGATTGTTTGTGGTTTTGTTTTTTTTTTCTTTTACACGTAACTGGTAGATTTTGCTTCCGGAGTCTGGAAATAAAGAATCTCAAGCAGCCATCCTCGCTGGCGAGTTTCTGTCCTGCACCGCCCTCGTAGGTACCACGGATTTATGTTCGTTTGTCCGGGACATTCTGCCTTTTTGTGTTAATTACGTGCTGCCTGCTCCGTTCTTATCTCCTCCGTAAAGCGATTATTCTCAACACCCGCCCAACTGAGCCTCCTGAACCTGCTGCCAGAGCGAGGGCCCATCTCCCGCCGCCACTCGCGACTTATTTACACGTCGCAGGTGAGAGGATTGATTTGCTCAGAGCCAGGAGGACCGGCTGGACCCGGGCGCGGGGCCTTCTCGCCGCAGCTCCTCCGAGCCGGGCCTCAAATGTCAGTGCGTCCAGGCTGGCCTGGGGCCCCGCCGCCGCCTCTAACATTGAGCAACAGCGCCACCTCGCGTCCACTTGCTTCAATGCAGTCTGGCCGGGAAAAAAGCCAACAAACGCATAGAGCAGGCAGGTCTCTCAGGCTTGGCCCAAAGGTGGAGAGTGGGAAGAAGGCGTTTCCAAATGGGTGGGTGGGTGGAGGTGAGGGGAGGGTCCCTGGAAGGGAGTTTCCCTGGGACCTCTGTTCGGGGTTTTTGGGGTTTTTTTTCCAATAAGTTATGGAAACAAACCTTGTTAAAGGTTTCACACTATTCTTTTTTTCACGCTCTCTTCCCGCATTAAGAGACAGTGCAAAGGAACTGCTGCGATGTTCCTCCCTCCCCATTCAACGCACGCAGATGCACGCTCCGAAGCTCCCGAGACCTCATGCCTAAGGCGCGCACGCTAAATTCCTCGCTCCTCTTACCCAGCTGTTGGTTCCGCACCGCCTATTCCGCCGCGGCCCGCTGGACTTTGGGGTGGGACTCTGACTTTCTCCCGAATGTTTGCCCCCTGGTTTGTAGCCCATCCCTCTCTCACGCTCGCTCTCTCCACCTCTCTCCCTCCCAGCCAGTGAGGTCCTGTTCTCCGTGGGCCATAGACAAAACATTCCTATAATCTGATTTCAAAGGAAAGAGTGTCCACCTTATTTAAACCATAAAACAATTAAGCCCAGACGTCTAGCCAACTCCGCGCTGCTGTTTTGTTCGGCCCCATTCAGAATCCATCGCAGGGAGACAAACAGCGCCATAAAAGTGGCATTTCGGTGCTGCGGAAATGTACCTATCCTCTGCCTTCCCAAGTGGAACAACCTTTAGGGTTTTGTGATTCTGACAAAGGAGCAGAGGAGAGGTGGGAGGGGAAGATTAGGGCAGGAGGGCATTTGCTAGCCCTTCTTTTCCCCCAGCTTTCGTTTCTTTCCCCAGATGTGTGGTTGTATTTTGGTGGTTTTAACTCACAAATTATAATAAATAAAAATCGAATACAATCCTGACCTGCAGGCAGCTGAGCTGGTATTGAATAGTGAGCCGGCGGTATGGGTCTGCTCTGGATCCCACGCTCTCCTCAGGGCCCTCGAGCCCTGCGGCCCTCCTTCCTCCCCGTATTAAGGCTCGAGCAGGCTGCAGGAAGCAGGCCTGGGCGGACGGAGGAGGGGAGGCGACAGGGTCTCGGAGCAGGCGCCGGGTGGAAGTCCGAAAGGCCGCCAAGCTCGGAGCTGGGAGAGAAGCCTGAGTCCCCGCCGTCAGGAAGGAGGCAGATGGGTGCCTTGTTCTCCAATGGGTACGGAACTGAGGCCAGGTTCCCAGAACAGCAAAATGGCCAAGGAGAGGAGTGAGGAAGTGAGAAAAGAGAGAAAACTGCATGCAAAGTACCTTTCAAAAGGACCAAGGAAACAATTGCTTCTGGAATTGGGGAGGATGTCTCTTAACTGGGAAAGAGGAGAGGGTGCTTCAGCTACTGGGAAACCCACACAGTTGTTTGCGACTTTTGATTGCCCCCTTCAAAATATTATCAAAACAAAATGGTCACTCCTACCCACCTTCCTCCAGCCCCCCAGATTGGAGTGTTGAATGGATAGAGGAGGTAGGACATTCAAATGATGGGGAGGGGCTGGTCCTGTAAGTGCCTCACCAGTTCTGTAAGGTGACGCAATGGCCTGGGGAGCTGCACATGGCCTGGGGCCCCCAATTATTTTCTTTTATGGTGGTGCACCCCAAGTATTCAGAGCAACACCCTGCACCGTCTCTAGAATGGGCAGCCTGAGATATTAAAGGGCTATATTTCAGGCAGTCTGAGTTTAATAGTTTCCAGATTGGGGGATTTCCGAGAAAGGGGGCGCCCAGGCAGAGGCATACCCGGCAGCTTGTGTCTGCTTCTGATTAGCAGATGAAAACTGCTGG